TCTTCTTCTGGCTTCCATGGGCACTTTTCTTCATGTATACACACAACACACACACACACACACACACACACACACACACACACACACACACACACCCCTCAGCAGATCTTATGTCTTCTTCTGGCTTCCATGGGCACTTTTCTTCATGTATACACACAACACACACACACACACACACACACACACACACACTCCCCTCAAAAATGAAATAACCCCTTTAGAGGTCTTGTAGAGGTCTCTGTTGACAGTTGTTCCCCATTGCCCTAAATGGCTACATTATTTCATTTAGTCTTTCCAGACACCGAAAGATTAGACCGTCTTTCCTTTTTCAGAGGACAAGGCAAAATGGCGCAGCTGGTGGCTGGATGGACTGTGGCTCAGACCTGCTAAGAGCACTGTGCTGCTCTCCGCGCCCCCCCCCCCCCCCCGAATGTTCTAATAATGCCACCACTTTCCTTCTACTGCTAGAACAAGGTGGGGGTCAGCCCACTTTCCGGTGGGAAGTAGAGTGGTGAGTTGATACCGGAATGACCCATCTTATGACTAAGGCCTCTTTATCTCGAGTGTCTTTGAGATGCTTCTGCTGGAAATTTGCATAAGCATCTGGGCCCTGGACTCAGAGGTCGTGACTATGCAGCCTGCTGAAAAATTAGGACAAAGATGTGCTGATTAATGCCCCCCCTACATGAGCGGGAGGTCAGAAATGAATTCGGGGACTTGATTGCATCTCAAGATTTTGCCTAGGACCATTTTGCACTCCCCCAGATCCTTGAGCTGCCCACGTTAGCTCAGTGCAGCTTTGCCCCCCCCCCCAGAACTTGTATTAACCAGAAGCTTCCCAGTCACTGTTGGCATGGCATTGGAAAACAGTTGTGCCCGGGCTTTCTCCACAAGGGAGCTTTTCTAGGGTCTGAAGTCATTTCAGTTCCATCCATGGAGAGTACTTCTCATTTCCTGTCATGTTGTGTTCCTACGGTATGAAGAACGAGAGGCTAGACCACCTGATTGTGTAGCCTTCTCTCTGCAATAGAAATGGGACTCCCTGCATGGGAATCCTGGTGGTCAGAGGTCAAGAGTTTGGGCCCTCTCTTTGCTGTTATCTGCTGAAAGGGCCCCAGCTGAGGCCACCATCATCAGCGTCTGTTGTCATGTTCAGTATGCAGGATGTCCAAGTGAGGGTCTAGGGGGTCTCCCAGTATGTGATGGAAGTTGGCCTCTCTTTTATCTCTCTCTCCTTGTCCCCTGCCGGGGCTGATAGTGGCACACTGGAGTCCTTCTGAAGCAAGGCTGTGTCCTGTGCAGGTTTAATGGTGTCCATGTATCACAGACCTGATCAAAACACTTCTGGAAGCATTCAGAGTATCATTGAGACCTAAGGTTTCTTAGGCCAAGGACACAGGGGACGCTAACCAAGAGAGAAGGAATTGATATTGTGAGCTCTGTCCTATGACACATCTCTACTATGACAGAAGATTTTCTTAGGAAAGAAAATTGGCATCAGATAGGGAGAAAAGATTCACCTAACATGTATAACTAAGGACTTAGGGTTGGAACTCATGAAGATTGAGCCCAGCTCCATAGTAAGATGAATGGTCTAATTAAAAAACCTGCCAGGAGCTTTGAACAAATATCTCACAAAGGGAGATCCAAGTGTGGCCAGTAATCATAGGGAAGGGTGCTCAGCGTCTGGTTATCAGGGGATGCCAAAGTCCCACCAGCAGGATGGCAAAAGCCACAGCAGCACCTATGACGTCAAACACCTGTGATCCAGCCGGGCACGGTGTGGTCCTCGTGCGTCATCCCTGGGAGTGGAACTGATGCTGCAGCTCTGGAAGAGTCTGGCTGCCCCAGGGCAGGGGGAAGGAGCTCAGAGAGGAATAAGACCATGGGGCTGGAGGTCATGTATGAGAACATCATCAGGATAGCATCAAGGAGATGGTGTGAGGGATTTGGGATGCATGCGAGAGTGTGTGTGTGTGTGTGTGTGTGTGTGTGTGTGTGTGTGTGTGTGTGTGTAGCTGGGGAGCCCTGTGCCCCAGAGCCTCCTCACTCACTCAGCACTTGCTGACCCTTGTCTGAAGTATTCACCACACAGGCGGTACTTATTTTGTCCCTCAGCTTCCTGGCTCATTGGAATCTTCCCCATGGGTTCTAAGCTGGGGATCTGTCTGTTGTGAAGGCACAGGCCCCAAGGGAGGGGCCCTTTCTTCCTACATTCCCTGTGGGCTCCCCATGGGTGCAGCGAGTGCCGGCAAGTGAAAAGACATGGCAATGGCTTTGCCTTCTCTGGGTGGGCGTGGCTGGGACTGCGGTCGAGACTTGGCATGACTGTGAGGCATCGGGGCTGGGTTTTGTGGACTGCAGGGCTCCTGAGCAGCGCACACAGTCCTGTCCGGTCCGTCGGGCTGCTCCAGCCAAACGCTGTAGACTTAGTGGTGCTGAACAGTACAGGGTGCTTTTCCAAGGTGTCTGGGGAGGGCTGCTGCCTGTGCCCATGTGCCTTGTCTCCCATGAGACTGACTACCAAGGTCCAGCTATTAAAGTAGTGAAGTCCAGCAATCAAAGCCCTCTTTGGCTCACCTAATTAACATGCCCAATTAAAATTCAACATCTCATCCTAACACCGGGGTTCCCTTTGTTCCTTTATAAAGCACCATTTCCCTATGTGCCACGTCTGTCTCCTCTCTATCCAGAGGCAGTCCTTTGTCCCCGCTTCCGGGACAGATATCCCTTCCCCCTCTCCCTTGTTCTCTTCCCCTTCTCCTCATCCTCTGTCTCCTGTCTTTGTCTCTAATTTGTTGCCCCTTGTCCCACTGTGGTAAGTAAATCTCCTTTGTGCTGAGAACTTGGTCTTGGGGTGTCCTGAACCCATACCAATCCCTTTCTCTTACAGCAACAGAAGTCACTCAAAGGCAGTTGCATCACCATGGCCCACCCCAGCATGGGTCACAGCTCACAAAAGCTGGGAGCTGGAGCACACTGCCCGGCCTGCACTTAGCTCAGTAGGTTGGAGAGTGTCCTTTCTAAGTGACTCGGGTGGTTTAAACCGTTAGGGTCCACGAGAAGTCCCATGAAGACCGCCAGACACATGTGCAATCAACAAGAGTATTTAATTCTCCAGAGCAAAAATTCCAGCATGCTGAGGTCAGACCATCTTACAAAGTGGCAAAATGGTGGCCCAGAGAGAAGCTCGAAGGCTCTTTTTAAGCATAGGTAGGGGAATTCCAGCTGCGGTTAAGTGTACTTTGAAGTGATTGGGTGTAGACCCTTACTGGTACAGGAATCATTTTTATGATCTGCTCATAACATCTGGTCAGAAACTGTGGTTGTGGTGTCAGGGGTCTGTCTGTCTGCTGTGTCAGGGGTCTGTTTGATTGAAAATAGCTAGAACAGTTCCTGCTTGTGGCCAGGTAGGACCCTGATTGGCTACCAGACCGGACATACTTCCTGAGGGTCTGATTGAAGCCAGACATAAGTCCACATAGGATGATGGGGTAATATGGGACAGAGGTCTTCGCAAACTGGCCCCTGGGGCCAAAAAAAAAACAAAAGACCGACTGGCCCTGTTAGGGTTAGTCCTGTTATAAGAGGACGGCTGCTTCAAAACCTTTCAGACAGCTGGGCGGGCCTCAGAGTCTTCTTTGCAGCTTATCTCGTCTGGATGTGGCTCTCAGCAGCTTGATTGGTTACTCTGGCAGCTAGGGGATCTAGTGAATCTGGTCAGTTTCAGGGACTTCCTGAGGTTATTTTGAGTAGTTTACCTTCTACCTTAAAGCTTTCCTGCAGGATGGAATGTTTCAATCTTGGAGGAAACTGCTACACAGCCCCTTGTCTACAATGAAGTGGGTCTGGTTCTGGAATGTAAGCTGATTTAAAAAAAAAAGCCTAGATGTGGGCATCTAGTGGATGCTTATGAGCAGAGTCGTTATGGCCCCATCACCATTGAGATGGAAGAAGCGTGCTTATGAGCCAGGAGTTCTCAGATCTAAGTTAGGTGCTATTATCATCATCTTCTAGTCATGTGGCTCCACGTGATATGTTCCAAGAAGCTGAGCAAAGTCCCTTCTCCATCTCTTGCCATGGTGGACTCTTGTTCCTTTTATGAAGGATGCCTCATGCATTGTGTGACAACTCCCTTCTGCCAGAGAACCTTCTTAGCAAAAGGCTGGATGTGCTTGGAGCCATGGCTCATGGAAGGTCTTGGGGTGTTCACAGGGGTCCCACAGGGCCTCAAGTTCCAGGTACATTATGATTCTTGTTTTCTCTCTATGCTTCAGCTTTCTGAAGAAGAGAAAATCCAGCGCTACAGCATCCTGTCTGAACTCTACGAACTGATCGGCTTCCACCGGAAGTCAGCATTCTTCAAGCGCGTGGCTGCCATGCAATGCGTGGCCCCTAGCATCACGGAGCCTGGCTGGAGGGCCTGTTACAAGCTCCTTCTGGAGACACTGCCCGGTTACAGTCTGTCGCTAGACCCCAAGGACTTCAACAAAGGTACTGATGACCTGGGGCTGGGGTGGAAGTTGCTTTGTTTCAATTCATTTGAGCATCGGCTGAGTGTTGTGGGACTGTAGTGGGCACCTGTGGTTCAAAGGTGGCCACAGCCCTTTCCTGCATAGCCACTCATAACAGTGATGTCACAACAGGAAGTCCTGGAGCACATCGTGTGGCCTTGATTTTGCATCTTTGTTAGTGGAGGTCAGAAATTGCCCTGGTCTGTCTGTCACCAACACAATGCTTGAAGTCCTAATGTTTTTACTTATCCCATGAAATTTTGTTAGTTTAGCAAAATCAATGTACCTTTCCAGAATAAATATACTTGGATGTATGTGTATGCACACAGCTATACATTTGTGGTAGGTTCTGATTCTGTAATAGTGATAAATATTAAAACATAGTGTAATGTGGAATACAATGCTCAGTTAGTCAAAGTCTTAGTCAGAGACAAATTCCTTCTCTTGATTACTGCTTCAGATGGGGACCCAGAGCTAGTGATGATGTGGCCTTTCAATAGGAGAGAACTGACTTGTCCATCTGCTGGGGTGCAGCTGGATCCCCGGTGGTGCTCCCACTCTCAATCACAAATCCCTTCCTTCTCCATCCACCTGATGACTAGTGTACAGACATCACCCTCCCCAGACTCTTTAGTACCAGCCTTTCCAGGCAGCTCTTCACATTGACACCTCCATCCCCAGCAGATCAGAGTCTTTAGAAGGGGATTGCTTGGCTCAGAGATGAGGCACACTGTTCTGTGAAGGGCAGTGTGGTAAGCCTTCAAGGCCTTGCGGGCCACAGTCTGTTGTCTGGAGTGGCATGAAAATAGCACAGGTCATGTGCAAGTCAATAGGGCTTCATGGGCAAGTGTAGATGGTGTGACTTCATGGGCAAGTGTAGATGGTGTGACTTCATGGGCAAGTGTAG